CTCCTTTTCTTTCTTCCCTGAGCCTAAATTTCTCCTCCTACTTACTCTCCCTGCCCAGAAGTCCTACCTATATCTCCTCCCTTGCTATTGGCCATTCAGCTTTTTATTAGACCATTCAGGTACCTTAGGTAGGTAAAGTAAAACAGCAACACATTTTTACATAGTTAAGCAAATGTAATACATCTTCATATAGTTAAACAAATATTCCACAATGCCCCATAGTCTATCACAGTCTCAACAATGTTTTAAAATCCAAATTTCAAAGTCTCTTTGCATCTCTTAACTGTAATCTCCTATAAAATCAAAGTCAAAAAACAGACCACATACTTCCAATATATAAAGGCACAGTATATACATTACTGTTTCAAAACAGGGAAGGGAGCATAGTGAGGAAATATTGAACCAAACAATACCAAAAAAACAGTTGGTAAACTCCAAACTCTGCATCTCTACTTCTGATGTCAAAACACTTTTCAGATCTCTAACTCCTTTCAGCTTTGTTAACTGAAACACACTTCTTCTTGGACTGGTTCCACTCCCTGTTAGCAGCTCTCCTCAGCAGGTATCCCAGGGCTCTGGCATCTCCAAAATCTTGGGTTCTCAAGGCAATCCAGATTTCACCTTCACAACTTCACACCTGTCCTTTCTAGGCCTCCATTTAGGGTGGCATGCAGGCAGACAAGGTACATGGGCTTGGGCTGAAAGTCTTGATACGCAGGCAACAGGAAGTGGTCTGTCTCACTGGGCGTAGCTTGAGCATATATGAGACCTCAAAGACCACCTCCACAGTAACACACTTCCTCCAACAAGGCCACACCAACTTCTACAAATCCTCCTAATAGTGCCACTCCCTTTGAGGACCATTTTCTTTCAAACCACCACAGGCTCCCTCCAAGTTGTTGCATAGGAGAGACGGTAGACACCTACAGCAAGAGGACATAGCCCTTGAACAGTGATATTCCAAGTACTGCTGCATACAGCCTCGGGCCCTGGGGAGGAGTTCCTGTTTTGTGGTGAACCAGAATTAGACATTCCAGGATTAGGAGCTGAGCATGCCACAGCTTTCCAAGCAGGGCCCCCCACCTGAGAACCTTGGGTAGGATGGGCCGTGTCTTAGTTAGGGGTTTTATGGCTGTGAAGAGACACCTAGAACATAGCAACTCTTACAAAGGAAAACATGCTGTTGGAGTGGTTTGCTTACAGTTTCAGAGGTTCAGTCCATTATCATCACGATGGGGCGCTGACGGCATGCAGGCAGCTGTGGTGCTGGAGTAACTGCAAGTCCTGCATCTTGCAGGCAACAGGAAGTTAACTGACACACTTGGTGGTGTCCTGATCATAGGCAATCTCAAAGCCTGCCTGTTGTAATTTAGAAAAAAAATGGCACAAGAAAGAAAGACGCCTTGTGACAAAGCTCAGGTGGAGGGGTTGTTTGTTTGTTTTTTAATCGGGGGTGGGGGGAAATGAATGGAAAAAGAGGGGAGGGGAGAAGGGAGACCAGTCTCTGAGGACAGGAGTAGTAGGAGAGAAGAGATGAGAGAGACAGAGACAGAGACAGAGAGGGACAGACAGACAGATGGAGACAGAGAGAGGTGGGAGGTGGGCAGGGCCCTTTTAAAAGGGAACATAGTGAATGCGCACAGGACAGGTGCTCTTAGTGGCTACAGCTGAGGACATATACCCCAAGGTCAGGCCAGTACAGATGCCTGAATACACTGCCCCCACAGTAACACACTTCTTTCAACAAGACCATACTCCCTCCAACAAAGCCACACTTTCTAATAGTGCCGTCCCCTATGAGATTATGGGGACCAGGTACATTTAGACTACCACAGGAGGGAACAGAGATCTATGTTTGTCCCTGATATGACAGGAAAAGTATTGACAGGCTGGTAACATGTGGTTCATGAACGAATTCACCAAGGCAAAAAGGAAGGAGTAAAGGGTGTATTAGAAACCCTGGCACAGGCGCCGTAGGCTGAATGGTGAAGAGACAACGCTGTGCAGAGGCATTCCAGGGGCTGCTTTTGCAGGGTATAGAATTCTGCTCAAGCAGTCAGGTGGTATCTGAATGTCACCATGCCCTGGTTGTGTTGGCCTTTTAGGGATAGACAGGTGTGGAGCTCACATCTGATCTTGCTAAGGAGTGAGGACCGTCTCCTCTCAGGACTGCAGATGTAGCTTATTAGGGTGCCGCCCTTCTGAGAGTCTAAGTTACTCACTGAAGAGTGGATTTCCTCACAATGGTGTTGGGAAGCCCTGAGACAGACCACAGCAAGGCTTGCTCAGGGAAACTGTAACAGGGCCCCAGACCTAAGCACCCTTACATTGATTCCATGATGACCATACCATTCAGGCTGTAAAGAGATATAGACAGCCCCGCCTGCCAAAAGTAAAACAAAGCCCTAACTTGTGAAAGTCCTTAAGCTGGGTTTTTGGCTTCTGTAGGTCCACTTCTGGCTAACTGATCTTATTAACTGAAGTGTGTCAACCCAGAACATCTTAAAAGCTTATCCTGAGGAAGGCTCAGTACTACACTGGGATCCTGAACACTCAGCATAGTTGCTGGCTGGTTAATAAAGACTTTTGATTGGCTTAAACTATGTCGTAGCAGTCTTCTCTGGTGAATACCCCACAATGTAACTTTGTCTGGCCCTGATTGGAGATACAATGTATTTGCCAAGGTTCTCTAGAGGAACAGAGCTGATGACTTGAACATACATACGCCTGCAGCCTGTGGCTTGGCTAGTTCAACAGTGGCTGTCTCCCAAGGGAAAGGCCAAGAACCTGGTAGTTTCCAGTCTATCAAGAAATCCTCCCACGTATTCCCAGCTCCATGGGTTTTGGTTGATTTCAGATGTAGTCAAGTTGACAACCAAAACCAGCTATCATAGTCCTGAACCTAGACTCCTTGGATCTGAGGAACACCAGCACTGGTCCATCGCCATCATTATTTCAAGGATCTGAACCCACTCCAAATGAGGACAGTGATCTCTGCTGCCAAGGCTGCCTCTGGACCAGAAGTCATCACGTGGGACATGACAACAATAACTTCCTCCCAGTGAGGCAAGACAAAAGAATAGGGACAACTATGGGGACTTGGGGAAGGAAAGGAGCCCCAACCCAGGAGTCAGGTTGAAGCCTCTCACCAACTGGGAAGCAAGAGCTCTGCAGTTAAAAGCACTGGGTGCCCTCGCAGAGGACCTGGGTTCAGGGCCCAGCGCCCACATGGCCACTCACAGATAACTCTGTCACTCTATTTTCAGGTGATCCTGTGGCCTCTTCTGACCTCCTCAGACACCCCCATGCATGCACAGGGTGTACATACATACAAGCAGACAAACATTTGAACCCAAAAGCATGCATACCAGAGAAGTGTGGTATGTGTGTACTCGTGCTAAGGCAGGACTTCACAGACACATAGATGACTCTACTTCTTGAAGAACTCTGACACATTCCTTTGTTTTGATTGGATAGGCCGCACTAAACTACATGACAGCATTTATTTATTTGTTTGTTTGTTTATTTATTTACTTGATTGTTCAAGACTGGGTTTCTCCATGTAGCATTAGAGCCTGTCCTGGAACTTTCGCTGTAGACCAGGCTGGCTTCAAACTCACAGAGCTTCGCCTGCCTTTGCTTCCTGAGTGCTGGGGTTAAAGGCAGGCGGAGTGGTTGGATCACATCTTTAATCCCAGTATTCAAGTAACTGAGGCAGGCTGATCTCTTTGAGATTGAAGCCAACCTGGTCTACTAGTGAGTTCCTGTCACAAAACAAAACACACAAACAAACAAACAAACAAAATCACAACTGAACGACCTCCCCAGAAGCATCACAGTTTTTTTTTTTGTTTGTTTTTGTTTTAAGTGCACAGTTCACACTTCTAAAACACACAGAATGGCCAGGGAGGTATTACACATCTATAACCCTAACACTTTGGAGGCAGAGGTCAGAGGACTGCAACAGAAGCAAGGCCCAATATGGAAGATCATTCCAGAATCCTTATTCAAGTTTCAGGTCCCAACCAACACCTGGGCCACATTCCTGGATCTATACTTGTCCAGGGCAAGAGGTTGCAAGGACAAGGGCTTCCCTGGTTGGGTAATAGCTCTACTTTAGAATATCTTCACCTTGACCAAATCTCAGATCTTCAGGACCTTCCAGGGTGGGGGTAATGTTCATAGCACCCAAATATCCAGGGTGCTGCCCATATTCCATGAGGACCCCATGGCGTTGACCATATGGGCTCTGGTCATCTCTGGGGCAGTGACCACCCGAGGACAAAAGGAAAGAGCAATGGTGGATTCCTGGTTGTCCCTTCCCAGTGTTGGCATCCAGTATGGACTGGGACCCCAGGAGAGGCAGGGTGAGAAACTGGTTGCTCTGAGTCAGGCCATGAGCCCCTGCAGTAGATGGCCTCCAGCTCTGGATTTAAAGAATCTGAGCCAGGTGGTGGTGGCTCACACCTTTAATCCCAGCACTCAGGGAGACAGAGACAGGTGGATCTCTGTGAGTTCCAGGCCAGCCTGGTCTACAGTATGAGTTCCAGGACAGGCTTTAAAACTATGGAGAGGGGCTGGAGAGATGGCTCAGAGGTTCTTCCAGAGGTCCTGAGTTCAATTCCCAGCAACCACATAGTGGATCACAATTATCTGTAATGAGATCTGGCGCCTTCTTCTGGCATGTAGGTGGAGCACTGTATACATAATAAATTAAAAAAAAAAAAGAATCTGGCAGGGCAAGACCTATCCACCATTGAGGGCTCGCCTCCTTAACTGATCCCTTCCCCCAACACAATCAAGGGCTCTTGGGAAATGGAGGAACCCTCTCTCTGTCCCCAGTATCAGCTCTGATGGAAGGCCCACCCAAACCAAGGGATACACCACTCCGATCTGGGTAACATGAGATAGATATGGGGCTGGCTGAAAGGGCAGAGATGTGGGTCAGCAGTCAGGCCTCAGTGGACCCAGGGTAGCAAAAGAAAAGTGAAGTTCTTGGCTAGGAAGACAAAGGGTTTATTGAACTCAACTTTGAGCAGTATGTAGGAGAAACCCACAGGCGCCCAGAGATTCATGTGTAAACAGCGTGGGCACAATGCCTTGGAATCCTTCCCCTTCCTGGTACTGTCCACCTGCCTCCAGAACCAAGAACAGCAAGCCACAGCAGAATGGCATTCTGAAGGACGTGGTGATAGGGCCTAAAAGTTGAAGCAAAGTGGCCCACACCTTAACCCCACTTCAGGGTTTTTATAACTCATAATTCATCATGAGAGGGCTCCAGGAAGGAGTGATTACACACGGGGATAGGAAGATGAGGGCCAGAGTGGCAGGAAGGACCATCACAACCAGGCCTGCAGGAGGACCGACCCCAGGCTAAACAGAAGCACCCCTGCCAGGGTCCAGATGCTGCCCCCAGTGGCACCTGCCGCATTGCAGAGGTCTGTGTTACAGCAGGAAATCTTGGAGTTGACGGTGACGCCCAGGATTTCCAGAGTTCCAGGAGACTCCTTATCGGGGCAGGTGGGAGAGCAGAACTTGTTTATTAATGTCATTTTGTAAGAATCTGGAAGACATAAGGGAGTGACCTCATAGGGTATGCAGGAACAACTCAACACCCCAAAGTCTGGGGCACTTGCCACCAGGTCTGGATGGCCCAGCCTTGCCTCTAAGGCACATTGAAGTTGGACATGGTAGCTTACACTTGTAATCCCAGAACTTGGAAAACTAAGGCAGGAGGATTGTTATGAGTTCAGATCCATCCTGGGCTACATGGCAAGTTCTAGAGCAAGCATGAGGCTGGAATTTCAATCATCAGAACCCATGTCAAAGATAGGCAGCCATGGTAGCCTACTTGTAATCTTAGTGCTCATGAAGCAGACACGGGGAATCCTGAGGTAAGTTCACTGACTAGACTAGCTGAATCTGCAAGCTTGGGGTTCAGTGGGAGACCCTGCATCAGTAAATAAAACAGTCATCAAGGAAGATGCCCAGTGTCAACCTCTGGGCTCCACACACTTGTACCCCTAGTGCACGTGCACCCACACTTGTCTACACACATGCACTTACACACCATGTGCTGGGAAAACAGCTCAGTCAGTAAAGTGTTTGCCACACGGAAGCATGAGGACCCGCGGTCCATCCCCAGCACACATGCAAAAGCCAAGCGTGGGAGTGCACATCTAATTTCTGTGCTGGAGAGGTGGAGCGGGAGCTTTCACCAGCCCCACTGGCCTGGGGGGCAAATCCCAGGTCCCACATGGTAGTTCACAACCATCCATAACGCCAGTTCCAGGGAACCCATCAAACATTCCTTTGCATGAAATGAAACAAATAAAGCTTAAAACTAGACAGTACCTGAGGAATGATACTTAAGGTTTATCTCTGTCCTCGCCATGTGTGCACCCACACACATAGGCAAACACACACAAACACACACACAGACACAGACACAAAAGACATGGCACAGTGCGAGATCACCCACATGGTGGCTTAGCACAAAGGGCAGCCAGGAAGAGCTGTTCCCCAGGAAGTTGGATCTAGGAGACCTACTCCAGGAGACAGCCAGGCTGTGGGAAGGAGCAGGAAACTGGATAGCAGGTTGAGGCTACTCCTGCTTTGTCTATCTAGAGGGTAAGCCTAGAAACTGACTCTGTGGGGGAATCTGCTGTGTCCTAATGTCTCCCAAGTCTTTTCTTTAGACTAAATCTTCTGATTCCTTCATTACATGCAAAGAGTCACTAAATGCCCCCAGTTCTCCAGGTCCTTGATTGAGCCTGTAGGGCCCTAGACATAGGGTAAGGACAGAAGCCACACATGACTAGTATGGGTGGGGGAGGGGAAATGATGATATCCATGCATGCCATAGAGGCAGCCCTGCTCAAGAATCTACCTCCCAGCACATACCTGGACCCCAGGGCACACCCCACAGCCCCCTGCCCCTACAGGAGCCCCACTCCAACCCCAGGAGGCCCCTGCTTGGAGGGAGGGGAACTATGGCCCACAAACAACTGTAGCCCACAAGTGCTTGGAACTTTCCTCAAAAGCCCCACCCCGCTACACATCTTCATACAGGCCACGGGGAACTCACCCATAGTGGATTTTATCTCCTCAGTAACGCAGACGCCGTTAGGGTAGGAGCAGTTGACTTGTTGGCAAGTCTCAGGTGTGTACTGAGGGCACTGGTAGCAGCGCAACCCCTGAGCTGAGAAACAGGCCAATACATGAGGGTCAGGGCATGGTCTTCCTAGACTTGTCCCCTGCTCGCACCTGGCTTTACTTCCTCACAGCTGCTGGGCTATATATAGGACCGAGCAGGGACACCCCTCCTCAGTCACCTCCACCAAAAACAGGCATGAACCAAGAGCCACAGCTCTTCAGATAGGCTGCGTATTGCTGTCGCAGGCAGCCAGCCGCAGGACAGACCTGGACCCCAAGAGGTAATAGAGAAACAGTCCTCATAGCAGGAGGATTTGGGTACCTCCTGTCTGCTGAGATGGTGAGAGGGTGAGGGAGTAGGTACCGGGGCATACAAGGGCCTCCAAATGGGGAAGACTCTTCTGACCTGTTGCATAACAGGGCACTGGACTTCCCAGAAGACAGCTGCAAAGTCAGGGTTCACCATGAGACCCCCCCCCTTATACAGGTGTAACTGTAAGTATGGAGGTTTCTGAGGGCTCTTAAAGAAGTTCTAGCACTGGGGGCTTCATGCGGCTGGCTTAGAGGATACAACAGGGTCAAATGTAATAATGTAAGGAATGCCAAAAGTTGAAGGTGCCAAAAACTCCTTGACTTGGCAGTTGGGCCAGGAAAAGAAGCCTCTGCCAGCTTGCGTACATACAGGCTGGCTGGGAAGCAAGGGCAGCAGGGTACTCTGAGGACAGGGGCCCTTGGTGGCCAGGGTTTGCTTAGGCCTCGAGAAAGAAATGAGAGAGGGATGGAGGGTGCACTTGTTCTGAGGCGATGGGTCCTGAGGAGTGTGGGGCAGCAGCTCACAGACAGAGCCCCACACTCCTACTAACTGGTGTGTGAAAACTGCAAGGCAGTTTAGAGGCCCAGGAAGCCACCCCAGCACATGAGAGTTCACCCACCACCAACCAACCCACACAGGGCACCCCCATGACTCCAGTACACCTCAGGCACTAGGCACACAATGAAAATGCCAGGGTACCTTCAACTCTGGGGCCATTTTCCATCTCACCTTTCTCTGCACACAGTAGGCTCACCAGCAGGAGGAGCACACCGGTCTTCATAGTGTGGGAACGGTTCATCCTAGAAGGGGGTACACAGACAAGACCTTGAGAGTTGGAGCCAGTTAATAGCAAACCCCCCAATCATATCCCTGGGGCTCTCACATGTCCTGGACATGGCTGGGTCACCCACTCTTCCCCACTGGCAGCCCTCCACACGGCTTCCCTGAGGAACAGTCGCCTGTGTCTCCTGTCTGCTCAGCTTTTCCTTCCTAATCTCCAGCTTCCACCCACAGTCATATCCATCCTGGGGGCTTCTCCCTATGCGTGCCACCCAGCAGCCCCATCCTAATTCCTTTCCTCACATCCTCTCTGTGACCAGGCTGCAGGCAAGTTGCAAAGTTCCAACTAGATGCAGGCAGAGATAAGCAACTCGGTTTATGAAATGCCCTCCCTCAGCTCCTCCCAAGAGGTGGGTTTCCGTTAGGTACTTCCTCCAGGCTATGTTTATTGCCTAAGAATTAGCGAGGCTCCTCAGAGACTTGGGTGAGCCAGATCTGACCAGCTCTTAGGGAGGGACCATGCTGGTACTGGAAGGCTAGGAAGAGCTGAAGAACAAAAGGAAAGTGGTCAGTGTTGTCTCTCTTTCAGAAAGCAAGGGAAGGAGGCAACTTACCCAGCCTCTTCCTGTTTCTAAATGAAAGGTATATCGGGGTTACCATGACTCAGAACCCCACTGTCTTCCTTACTATAAGTAGGTAAGCAACTGGCAAGCACAGGGTGCTTGGCTCTGGTGAAGAAGCCCCCAGCGGGATCATGTACTCACAGTGTGAGAGCCCTGAGTCAAGAACTGATAACTGGGGTGGGAGAGTGTTTCATATATTTAGGTGACATCTGGGGCTTCAGGTGCCATTGGCATTTTGTGGCTAGAACCAGGCCCAAGACAGTTTTATGCAGAGGATGAATGACCTTAGCATCCCCACTACTGCCCAGAGTGGGGAGACCTGCCTTGAAGAAACCTTTGTTTTTTAAAAAAAAAAAAAAAAATCATGTTAATTTTCCCTGGCAATCCAGTTTGGCATGCTGCATGTCCCTACATCTATGAGGTCCAGATCCAAGGTGTCCCACAAAGGACCTGAGTTTCCTTGACCTTGAAGTTACCTCCATGTGGTGATGTGGTATTCCAAGATTTAAAACTTTTCTATAATGAGCCAAGTATTGATAGCAGCTGGGGCTCAGGCCTGGCATGAGCAGCAAGCCAGAGACTGAGTTCCCTAACTTCATGGAACTTAGAGCCCAGTGAGTGGCCACACTTAGTGCCTGCAGGTGACAGAGATGAGACCAGGAAGGCTGGGCCCAGAAAGAGAGCTGAGCTGGAAGATCATCCCGAGACAACACAACAGCAAAAGAACGGGTGTACTCAGAGGCCAGAGGCCAAGCAAGTCCCAAAGAGGAACCCAGAAGCAGTAAAGTGAAGCCCATTCACTGAAGAAGGCCAGTCTCCAAAGGGAAGGAAGCCAGAGGCTCAGAGAACACTGGTAGATTCTCCCGATGGAAGCTGCAGGGCAGAAATAGGAGTCTCTCTCTTTCTAGGAAGGACCATCAATTGTTTCTGGCTGGGGCCACCCATGTTCCTCTAACTCCAGGGCCCAGGTTTGTCTAATCAACACACAGCTCTCCACCTTAACACCAAGAACAGCCCCTCCCTGTCACTCTGCAAGCTATGAGGCAAGCAGACCAGTTCACCACCAGCACCACTCCACCCCTCCGCACCCCAGAACAGTGGTGGGAGGAAGAAAGAAATCAGGAAAAGCTTTCTATATCACACCTTGGCACGCTGCCCCAGGCATCGGCTCATGCAGAACCAAGTGCGGGCGTTACCAAGAGCAGCAGCCTGCAAGCACCTGTTCGCTTAACGTATTCCATGGGAAAATGTGAGCAGACATAGGGCATCAATGACAGACCCTAGGTACCATCCCACCCAATTTTATCTTGGTGAGCCAGTGTGCTTCCGGGGTTTAGTTGCGGAGCATGGGTGAGGTCAGGTCACTGACAGAAAACACAGACAACGGTTATCTATGGTTTATAAAGAGGTAGTAGGGGACCGGTCCCACAAGGGGTGGCGGTGGTCACCCGAGGCCTCAGCAGGAGACAGACATATAGATACGCCATGCAGAGAGAGTTTGGGTATAGAGTTTATTTAATGGGTTATGGAGGGGGAACAGAAGGGGAAGAAGAGAAGAGGAGAAGGGGGAGGAATGAGAGAGGCAGAAGCTACCTCTCCAGAAGAAGGGCAGAAAGAAGGGGGGGGGTGAGAGTGGGTGGAGCTTTTCTCTTAAAGGGACAGATTACCCAGGCGACAGACCAGGCCAGCCGATTACAACCCCCAGGCGGTTGCCTCTCCATGACGTCTCATACCATCATGACACCAGTGTCAGGGAGTCCCTCTTTCATGCGATCTTCCACGTCCTCTGTATTCTAATATCTTCTGAGACCCCTCGTAGCTGGAGGAGAACAGGAGGGAGTAATGGCCAGAACCCCAGGTGAGGGTTCTCCCTCCTTCTGCTCGGGGTATCTGGAGCTCATTACCACAGACCTGTCACTGTTTTTGCTCTTCCGACTCCATTGCTGTGTGGCTACTGGGGCAAGAGGCTCAGAGATGGCAATGGGACCATCACCTTCTCTTTGGAGGAAAAGGACATATAGCTACAGCGCCCCCACTCTTTCTCTAGCAGTCTTAAATTAGGGGTTCTTTTTCTTTTCTTTCTTAGCTTTGGTTTTTTGAGTTAGGGTTTCTCTGTATAAGATCTTGGCTGTTCTATAGTTTGCTTCTTAGACGAAGCCAAGCTGGCCTCGGACTCACAGAGGTCCACCTGCCTCTGCCTCCCAAGTGCTGGGATTAAAGGCGCGCGCCACCACCGCCCGGCTTATACTAGGGGTTCTAATGAGTTCCCCAGTTTCCATCCAGTATCTCTGCTGAGTAGCCCACTTTCCTTAGTGGTGGACTTTGGTCCAGATGATTGACAGGCCCGCTTAGATTAGCTCTTTGGGAGAGGACAACAGTGCGCTTCTGTAATCTTCCTTTGGGGTTCCACCCAGAGTTAGGGGTACCAGATGTGATCAGGCTTGTGTGCCAGAAGCCAGGTGTTCAGCAGAGTGGGCTACAGGAGAACACACACCCAGCCCTCCTCTTCCTGCCACCCAGCTCAGCGAGCCACCAGACTGAGTCACCCGGCACAGGTCAAACATTAACCGAGCTCATTCCTCTGTGAAGTAGCCAGTCATGTGCCTCCCTCAGTCACACAGTAGCGGTTAAGTAAGAGGTTCACTGTTAATTAATTGCACTTCCTCAGAATGCAATGCCCTCCACACCCCTCCCCTCCCCTCCCTCCCCCTCCCCCTCCAACCCCCCACCCCCCACTCCCCCACCCCCCCGCAAAAACCAGAGACCTAAGGGCGGCCCCTTGTGTGACAAGAACAAAGCCACTAACTGGTGACAAGAACAAAGCCGCTAACTGGTGTTGGGCCGCCTGCTGGCATTCAGGAATCTCTCTGAAGGAAGACTCAACTCAGTTCCTCTGTTTGTCTCAACCCCTCACCACTCCCCATCCCCCCAACTTAAAGATTAGAAGGATATTTAGCTGGAGAAGTCCCTGTAGCTGAATTCCTGCTGGTCTGGGGCCCAAGAGATAGAAACTAGCCCTAAGCCCCGCTGGACAGCATCAGGCCTAGCTCCAGAATTAGCAGGAGTTTCTTTTTACAGATCCCTTTGTCACCCTACGTAAATCTTGTCTGAGAGTTTCCCAAGGATACAAAGCCTATGCAAAACTTGGTTGGGAGGGAAACCCTGAAAATTGTGGTATCTCTTTTTATCGAGACTTTGCGCTTGGCACAACGGTAAATATGAAAAAAAAATTTTAAATGCTCTTGGATGAAGGGAGGGTGCTTCAGTCTATCGAGGCTGGAGATCCCCTGCAGCCACAAAAGGCTAAGTTCATTCTCAAAGTGTCTCTGAGCTTTCTTTAACAGACCCATGTGAACTCACAGCCATGATAGCCTGCCACAGACCCGCGTGAACCCACAGCCGCACCTGCCACAAGGCCCTGAGGATAGTCCCACTTTCGTGATCAGTCCTGGACCACACCTCCCGTTTCCTTGGCAATATCCTGATTTTCAAAAAATGGGAAACGGCACAGTTGCCCCTCCTTAAAATCTGAAATTCCAAATACAGAGAGGAGGGTAGAGGTGGGAGGGGTTTGTTTACGTTCACTAATGGAAAGTTGTCTCCTTCAGTGATTTGGAGATTTTTATAAAACCACTTTTATTTAACCTCTCTCTCCCTCTCCTTCTCTCTATTAGTTTTTTTGAGACAGGCTTTCTCTGTGTTGCCCTGGCTGTCCTGGAACTTGCTCTGTAGACCATGCTAGCGTCAAACTGCCTGTCCCTGCCTCCTGAGTGCTTTCACTAAAGACTTAACTAATTCTCTTCATTCATCGACACTGTTGCAGGATTTGGGGGTCCAAAGATCTGAACTGTACCTCTGATTCTGCGTGGAAACAAAAACTATGATCATCCAAACACAATGCCACCCTTTCCCCTAAGAGTTAATAACCTATCACAGCCGGGAAACGGGGCAACGGGAACGGAGAGAAATGAACACGCGCGTGCTTATGGACTAGCTGGTGCTCGCCTCAGTTCCTCCACGTCTATGTGTATAGTTCTGGACTCCATACCTAGGGAATGTCCCACATCTGTAGTACAGAACTTAACTCCCAGCTCTGAGAAGCGGGAACCCAGAAGTGTAGCCTAAAATAAAGCTTCCTGTGCTAAGTTTCTTTCTGTTACGGAAGAAATGAAACTAAGTGGGTAAGAGCAGTAGCTTCTGCCCTTCCTCTGCTGTGACCCTTTAATACAGTTCCTCACATTGTGGTGACTGAAAGGTTTTTACACCCCTGGGCTGACACAATAATCCAAATCAGACCAAATCAAACCAAATTAGAAAAAGCCCAGGTTTAATGGACGCCAGCATTCCTGGGTGGGCTTCCGGGTCATCAGAGAGGAGATGGGGAAGGAAAGGCCTGGAAATGACGTGTTTGTTCTCAGGGGGGCAGTTTAAACAGCCTGTGGGCTGGGATCTGAAAATGGGAAAGGGGGCAAAGGAAAAGCTATGCTTTTTGTGGTAGGACCCAGAAAGGTGGGCAGACTCAACACGCAGGGGGTTTTGAGAAACTGCATAGATGGAGGAGTCTGTGTGAGCACAAAGCTTCTATGGGGGCTAATTATGCCTCCCGTCTGCTGAACATGTCTTTAGGAGAATCAGCTTAGCT